ACCAGGATTCTGGTCTCAATTCCATGACCTTGGACAAGTTACGTATCCCTCCTAGGCTTCATTCTCCCCACCAATAACATTACGAAGTTAGACTGGGTAATCTCTTCCCTTGCTGACGTTGTCTGGTGGTTAGACGCAGGGGCTGTTACACCCTGTCAGTGGAATCCTACCTGGAATCAGGTAGGAAAGGCAGTTGTGCCTCCAAAGGGTTTAGAATAAGATGAATACATTCATTTTTATCAAACAAAGCAGAGCAGTGTAAGTGCCATCAAAGAAGTAAAATGAGGAGCTCTGGCCATTAGGGGAGGGTAAGATCACATCTGGTTACTAATGGGAGGTATGGACGGGGCACAGAGACTGCTCTTCCTCTGATGTCAGCCTGTCCCTGGTATGCAGGCCCTCGCCTCATTGATGAGAGGAGGAGAAGCTGCTAAGATCCCAGTAGCTTTAAGCTCTTGCAGAAATCTGTCATAAACACTAACTCTCTAATTCAGAAGTGTTGGTTCAAGACACACAAATTGATGTAATGCTTAGGAACCTGCTTAAGAGGCAAAGAGGAAAGAGAAAATGAAAGTGGTTGTCATGTTCCTGATGAATGCTCCATATCTTGCTCGGCCACTTACTAGTCAGGTGGCCTTGGGCAGGTCACTTGTCTTCTCTGAACCCTGGTTTTACCTCAGTTCCTCATCTAGAGATTGGGGATAATAATACCGACTCCGCAGGATAGTGGTGAGGAATAAATTAGATAGAGTATGTAGGGCCCCTAGTGTAATGCCTGTAGCACAGTAAGCATTCAGGAAATTTCATCTTCCATCTTACCTTCTGCCCCTCTAAACACATCCGTTTTTAAACACCCTTTTAAAATCCCTGGCCGGGGGCGGGGGAGTGGAGGGAGAGAGAGAGATCATTTCACAGCGATAACTCATAGAATTCTATATGCTCCACCCTTGCATACGTTCAGATTTGGGAAATTATGTGCCATCTTAAGAAGCTTCCCACCCCTTTACAGCTATTAAAAGGACAGAGTGGAAAGGGCAAATCAGAAGTTGTTGCTGTCTTATCTGTGGCTGAAGGAGGAACTAGGGAGGTCCAGCCAGCAGCCTTATTTCTTCCTCCAGGTGAACTGATGAAGACTTAGAAGCAGCAGCTGCATCATGGCCAGGGTGGCCTGCCCTTGTCCTTTCACTTTCATCCTATAGTTATCAGGCCTTTAAGGAGCGGTTGTTGCTATATCTGTGGTTGACAGTCATCATGGCAGCCAAGAAAAATTTATGTGTCAAAACAATTGCATTTCATTAAACTTTGGAATGAGGAAATATATGTGTAGGATATAATAATTTTTTTTTAGAAATTAAGGAAAATCATCCACTCATTCAGCCTTCAAATGCTTATGGACAGCTGCTATTGTGACAAACACAGTGCTAGGCACTGGAAATACAACAGTGACTAAAACAAAACTCCCTGCCTTCTCGGAGTTTATATTATGGTGGGAGATGGAGAAAATAAACAGGATAAGTTAGTAAAATATATATTCCTGATATTACGTATTAGGAAGTAGTTGGTGCTAAGGGGGAAAATAAGGCAAGAAAGAATATAAAATATCTGTGGGGATGAGGTATTCAAGTGTTAGATAGTTGTCCAGGGAAAGTCTCATTAATAAGGTGCTTTTGAAGTAAAGACTTGATGAAAGTGATGAGCCAGCTGTGAGGGTGTCTGAGGGACAACATTCAAGGCAGAGGGAACAGTAACTCCAAAAGTCCTAAGATGGCCTTGTGTGTCTGAGGAAGGTGCCCAGTGTGTCTGAGGAAGGTGCCCAGTGTGTCTGAGGAAGGTGCCTAGTGTGTCTGAGGAAAGTGCCCAGTGTGTCTGAGGAAGGTGCCCAGTGTGTCTGAGGAAAGTGCCCAGTGTGTCTGAGGAAGGTGTCCAGTGTGTCTGAGGAAAGTGCCCAGTGTGTCTGAGGAAGGTGCCCAGTGCGTCTGAGGAAAGTGCCCAGTGTGTCTGAGGAAGGTGCCCAGTGTGTCTGAGACAGGTGCCTCATGTCTCTGAGGAAGGCGCCCCGTGTGTCTGAGGAAGGTGTCTCCCATGTCTGAGGAACAGCCAGGAAGCCACTATTTGACCTGATGGGGAGGGAAAGCAGTCAGAGATCAGTTCCGAGAGAAAACAGAGGCCAGTTGTGTGGGGCCTTATAGGACATGATAAGGACTTTGATTTTCACTCAGAGTAAGAAGAGAAGCCACCATGGCGTCTGGCCAGAGGAGTAATAAAATATTATATAACTCATTTTTATGAGTGCTTACCCTGTTTCGTTCTATTTTAAATGCTTTATTTGTAATCCTCACGATAACCTTAAGAGGTAGGACCTACATCTCCCATTTTACATCTGAGGAAACAGAGGCCCAAAGAGATTAAGTTTTGGCTGAAGTCACACAGCCAAAATTTAGATCCAGGCCAACTCTTAACCACCTCCTCGTCCTGACTCCCCAAACGCTTAAGAGATTGAGACTTTCTTTTTTTTTTTTTCTCAATACCTGTTTTTCCAGAGCACACTTACAACAAAATTACTTCATACTCATTCATAAATACAGAACTTCTTCACTTAACCTGATGAATATTCCCAGTATTCTGCTTTATGATTTCAAGTTTTTTAAAAAGCTCTCAGGTTAGCATATTAACAAGCATGTTGACATGTCTCTCTTTAATTATGCAGGCAGCTATTTCTTTTTTGCTCCTAATGTAGAGGTTGATTGGGAAAATTTTTATTTTATTGCTTACAACCTTACCCTAGTGCTACTTAAATCACTACTATATGATTTGGCATCTATAATTTATCATTTTCCTCTGCTATTAGATGAAATGCCCTTTAAAGCGTTCCACGGCAAGGTGAACACGAGTCAAGCTTGCAAAGTTCTAGAAAAAAGAATCGCAAAGAGTCATTAAAGAATAATGAAAGTTGATTTACATAGCATACAATTTCAGGGCTGCCCAATTTAAAAAATATAATTACTCCACGTCATTTTCAGAAGGCATCTAAATTTCAGCACCTAATTTTCATCATCTTTTAAGGAATAACATCAAAAATACCTTATTTTTATAAATATTCTAAGAGCAAAATCTTTAATTCATTTAATTTTTAAGTCATTTCTCTGGATGTCACTAGAGTTAAGGCTGAAACAATAGACAATTTAAAATATAGGAAACCCAGATTTCTTTTACTGTTGTGTGGCTTTAACATTCTACTGCTGTAGCCAAGAGTCCTTGGCTTCTGGGGCCAACTGCCTTTTGCATGCTGATTTTCTGGAGAGAGTCTCTCGGGAGTTATTCCTTTTGAGTAGTATCTACTATGACTTTAGTCCGTGCAGGAAATTGGGGTAGCAGAGTTTGGGAATGAAAACACTGAGGGAAAAATCTCTCCCAACTCAATCTAATTTTAGCTTTCGCAGACCACTTAGCTGTACCTTCAGCTACCTGCAAATATATGCCTCGCAGGTGCCCATCATTGAAGGACTGCAACCAAGACTTAAAGAAAAATAATGTTTTCTATCATAATATTTTTCAGTAAAATAGGTGATGTGTATCAATGTGTGTGTGTGTGTGTATTTGCGTGTGCATATGCGTGCAAACCATATGCATGTATACTCACCTTCAAGTATTCATTCAGAAAAAGGGAGACAGTCCAAAAGGCTTTCTATTTTTCATAAACTCTATTTAATTTTTCCTTTCAACCCCTCACAACCAAAAGGACCAGTAGTTCTGGGCTCAAGACCTCAGAAACCATATTATTGTGTTATGTGAAACAGGAACAGGAGGCTTTTTTGGTATTAAATTTTATGTGGTAGCTCTTTTGACATGGAAATAACTAAATAAAATCTAACAAAGGTCTTTTGCGAGGAAATGGTTAAAAGGGCACGTCTTGTGGCCAGGAAAACCACAGCGTATTCCAATTAGGAATAAATTAGAGAGTGCTACACTTTTCTGGAAGGGTCAGGAAGTCAAACTCTTGGCCTTGAGCTGCCTCTCACCTCCACCCCTGCTGACCCTGAGAACAAGTCGCCCCGTCTCTGTGTGAACCCAACAGTTGCAGCCAAGCCTTGCCATTCCTCTGCAGAAAGGAGCCAGGGATTTTCACCAGAGGCTCCTGGCCAGCATCAGAGTCAGAGGGAGGTAACCAGGTGCCAGGGGCTTTCTATAGGATCCCAATGCCAGCTTTCTGTCTGCAAAGGAAAATTCACTAAATTCGCTCAAGCCAAATCTGACATAATTAAAAGTCTCCAAAAGAAGTTTTGTAAGCTGTTTTGCTACTGAAGATTAAGTTCTCATTTTTCAGATTATATTTTCTGTTTTCCTTAAATTCAGCAGCACTTTTAATCCATGGCACTCATTGGTATACAAGAAAACCCATTCTGCTGTCCTCATAATCAATTGAAAGCGTACAGCTGTGACACCTTGGTACTTTATATTGTGAATTGATCGCCTTATACTAACATCTGATGAATACTTTTTTAAAGTTCTTTAGATAACCTGTACAGCTGATGTGTATGGTTAGTTGGGAAACTGGGGCTATGAAGCAAGGTGCCCAAAATAGCTGAATTTGATCAAGATGTCATGCATTCTTGACCTCTTTAATAGAGTATTTTGCTGTTTGACAGCATCTAAAACCTGTCCTTCCAGGTCCAGCTCAGTTCCTGCCTCCAGCCCAAAGCCTTGCCTCACAACTTCAGTTCTCACTGAGATCTTCCCTATGGGACCACCTAAAGCCCTACTCTCTGTGCAGCTGTTATGGCATTTGGATATGTCATCACACGCCGTCATTTCTTCACTGATTTCTTTCAAATCAAAGGCCATGTGCTCTGTCTCGTCAGCCCCCTGCACAGTGCCTAGCTCTGTAGGAGAAGTTAACTGAGTTGATTTATAGCCTTTTTCATCATTTCCCCAATCATCATATCTAGGACTAGCGTTTGCACTATTGCTTTTTATTTCTCCATGCACTCTGTGTTCCTTAGTGACCCAGAAGCATCCAGAGTGAGCTGCACATTGGACCACTCCTGGAATAGATTCATCACTTGTGTTTTTTGGCTTGGATATCACTGTTCTGTGCCACCTGTGGAAAATGGGAGACAAATTATATCCCTTATGATTGCAGTTGTTAGGGAATTACCGGTGAGTATAAAGAGAAAAAAAAAAGCTAGTGGAACAGGGAAAGAAAAGAAATATAAAAAAGGGTGGGAGGAAAAGAGATGGTGAGGAGGGAAAAAGCCCCTGCTCTCTGATGTAAATATATGTTTCCTTTTTTAATGATAAAACATAAAGACTCCTTGCAAATGCGTTTCATAGAGGATTACTTGCACATCTTAATAATGTTTGCTCTTTAGGGAATTGTATGCAGAAATGACTGCCTTTCCAGTTCGAATTAGGAATAAACTGGAAAGGCAGTTACTTTGGAGGGAAGTAAAAGCAAAAGCCCTAGTAACACTGGTGTATTGTATGCGACAGTAAGAAATGACAACTCAGACTGGGGCAGCTTCTCTCTTATGTGATCAGCTTGCTATGCCCTCAATGAAGCCATGAGGTTTCGCGTTTTATAGGTTGAGCTTCCCACTGGCAGCAGCTGAAGCAGTTCATTATGCACTTCTGTCACGTGATCCACTTCATCAACCAAATGGAACTGGGAGAATAAGTCACCCTAACAAGATCCTTCAGTACACTCTTAAAAACTACTTACAGATGTACTCTTCCTCTGAAGGGATACAATGAGTTTCCTTGTGCTGTGCCACATGATACAGGAAATGCATTATCCCCATCCAAATTCACGCATACCAGGAGGAAGCACGTGAAAAGAAAGCAGCGCACAAAAGCACACACTGCTTTTGCAGAAGTCCTGAGAGGGGCTCATACACCAATTTATGATAACGGCAGATCAAATCCCGGGCCTCTGAAGCTCAGTTCATTACAAATGCTAATGTCCACACAGGGAAAGGAAACCACATCAGCATTCAGCATCGACACAAACACTGCTAATGCTTTTTATTTATGGCTGTCACTGAGTCCCCTCAGCAGTGTGCCAGACCTCCATTTGTGTTGCAACTTTAGCTACTTTATGTGCTTTCAGGACCAGCTATGTTACGTACCCATAGGCGATTTGTGTTTTCAAACTGTCTGCTGAGAGAAGCGGCCACACTTCTGATCTTGAATCCGGAACCATGTGTTGACATTCAGATCAGGTAGAATAAATGTTTTTGTAGATGAGTCTAGGATTAGATTCACCTGCCATTGTTAAATCTTCCTATTTCAATTGGTGTGATCAATTTATCATTCATTCAGTCAGCCAACAATTATTTATTGAGTACCTGTGATGGGCCAGGCACTGTTCCAGGCACTGGAGATACAACAGTGAACAGAGAGAGTCCTGCCATCCTAGAGATTACATTGGGAGAGGGGGCAGGGGGAGACAGTAAACAAATAAATATGTAATGTGTCAGAGAATGTGTCAATCAGGATAGGCTAGTTATTTTGTGGCAGTAAACAACTCAGTATCTCAGTGGCTTAAAATAACAGTTTATTTCTCACTTACACTGCGTGTTCCTTGCAGCTCAGCTGGGAGCTCTGTTCTGTGCAACTTCACTCTGGGACCGAGGCTGCCTGGAGAACCACCATCTGGAGTATGGCTAGTCTCCGTGAGAGAGAGGAAGATAGAGTGGTGAATTTCTCACTGGCTTTTAAAGCTTACACCTGAAAGTGATACATGGCACTTCTACTCAGATGTCACTAGGCAAAGCAAGTCACGTGGCTGTACCCAACTTCAAAAGGCGAAGAAGTGCAATCATACCCTGTGTTTGGGAAAATCGGACACACTTGGTGGGCAGAACTGTCCCAGATGATGACAGTTGCTATGAAGAAACAAAGCCAGGTAAAGGAGATGATGTCTGGATAGCTGGTTTCTACTTGATATAGGTGGTCAGGAAAGGTCTCTCTGATAAGGTGACATTTGAGGAGAGATTCTAAGAGGGCCATTTGGATGGGCACGGGGCAATTTCCTGCAAGGGATACAGCAAGGGCAAAGTGTGCCTGGCGTGTTTGAGAAACAACTAGGAGGTCCAGGTGGCTAGACTGGAGTGAGCAAGGGGAAAGCTGTAGAAAATTAGGTCAGAGAGATAACCGAGAGCTGGGGACACAAGGTAGGGCCTTACTGTAAGAGCTCTGGCCGTTGTAGATTTTTGTGTAAAGACACAATCTGAGTTAGGCTTTAAAAGCTGCTGTGGCTGCTGTGTGGAAAATACAGCAGGGGGCCAAGGATTGAAGCAGAGAGTGGTTAAGAGGCTGTTTCAGTAATCCAGGTGAGGTAAGAGACGGGGTAGTGGTCAGATTCTGGACATAGTTCGAAGGTAAAACCAACAGAATTTGCCAATGTGTTGGTTGTAAGAGAAGGAGGAGATTTGAGGATGACTTCAAAGGTTTGTTTCTCCTAGTAGTGCCTGGACACACATAAGGACTGCCTCAGGTGGTTTTTGAGACTCTTCTAACTTGGCAATATCACCATAGCATATAACTTCCCCCATACATGAGTCAAAGTTGGACAGCCAAGTGGAGATATAGATGCTGGGGCAGTCAGCCTGATTCATGTACCAGCAAAGGGACTTCTGTCCCCACATTGGCCTCATATCTGGTCTCTCTTTGGACTTATGACCCAAGTTAATTTATAAAACCAGAGAAGTGAGCTTCATAATTACAAGCAAAATAGGAGAAAATGACTGAGTCATCCCAACCTCATCTCACCCCGCCATTCCTCTGTGAACCTCAGATAGCGCTACCAAGAAACCCAGCTATTACAACATGGGGTCTATCCTCATTGGACACTGGGACAGTGATGTGTTGCCTCCCATTCTCCTGGAAATACGTTGAGTAAAATTCTTAACAAATACGACAAAACAACACTGTGGTGTTTTTCTGAATAGTGTGTCCCCCATTTCTGCTCACCCTGTCATCCTGTAACATGGCTCTCCCCATCACTACCACCCAGTAAATGGCAACTGGAACTCCCTGCTACACCTGGGCCTTCTCTGTGTCTTCTCCAGCATAGAGTAGCATAGGTTGAGTGCAAAGTTTGCCACCTACCATAACGGACTGAATAAATGAAGGTCCATGCTGTTTTTAAGAACTATTTTGGGGGTATTTATACTCAAAAGCATTCATTTGTTCAAGAAATCTTCTTGAACTCCTACTATGTGCCAGGTACTCTTCTAAGCACTGGAGACACAGCCATGGATAGAATATATAAGTAATATATATTGTTGAAAACTGGGAAAGCATAGAAAGGTACTCAGAAAAGATAACATTTCCACTAACTCACCACCGAAACATAATTGCTAGTAACATTTTGGTGCCCAGTCTTTTTCTGAGCATATATATCTTTCCTTCCTCCTTTTTTGAATAAAATTTACAACTTTGGGCTGACATTGTACATTTTTTCTTTTAAAATTTTTTCTTCTCATAAAAATAAATCATAGCAGATGCTCTGTATTTGTTGAATGAATGAAAGAATTAATTATAGAAACAATAAATTACAGAGAAGCAAAAATTGAAAAATGAAAATCACTACTAAGAGATAATATCACTATTAATAGTTTAGGTTGTTCAATATGGATTTGAATAATCAGCATATTTTTATAACAGTACTCCACAACAAATGATTTTTTAAATGACAGCTTTCTCTTTTTTTCTAATTGCAAAAGCAACATGCTACTGTGGTTATTTTGGAAAAGAGGGAAAACTGTAAAAGGGAAATGAAAAGTCATTCATAGTCCCACTGCTCAGAGACTACTGCTATTAACGTTCTGGGCGTTTTTTCTAGGCTTTTTCTTGAACAGTACAATAGGTTAATTAAGAACCTGGACAAGTTACTTAGCTTCTCTGAACCTCAGATTCCTTATCTGTAGAATGACACTAGTATACCCACTTTGTAAGACTGGAGTAAAGTTTAAATAGATCAGGTATGCAAACTGCTTAGTCCAGTATCTGACGCATAACAACTGCTCAATGAAAACTCTTACTCTTTTGGAAGATAGTTCTATATAGTTGGTCATACATATACATGAATTTTAATCCTTTTTTTAAAAAACTTAACATTGGGGGCTGACCCTGTGGCCGAGTGGTTAAGTTCGCACTCTCCGCTGCAGGCGGCCCAGTGTTTCGTTGGTTCCAGTCCTGGGTGTGGACAAGGCACCGCTCATCAAGCCACGCTGAGGCAGCGTCCCACATGCCACAACTAGAAGGACCCACAACGAAGAATGTACAATTATGTACCAGGGGGCTTCGGGGAGAAAAAGGAAAAAATAAAATCTTTAAAAAAAAAAAAACTTAACATTGTATTATTAAATTTTAAATTTGGAGACAGTCTCAAATTTTCTGAAAAGTTGAAAGTACAAAGACCTTTTCTCCCCCAGACCATTTGAAAGAAAGTTGCCGATCTGATTTGCCCATTACCCCTGAATATCATAGAGCACGTTTCCTCAGACAGAGACATTTTTCTCCATAACTCTAGTTCAGCAAAATTTGGAAATTAACATTGATACATTGGGGGCTAAACCTCAGATTCCAGTCAAGTTTCTCCATGGCCCAAGAACATAACTTTAGCAAAAGGATTGCTGTTCAGAACCACATGGTGCAATGATTCCTCACGTCTCCTTAGTCTCCTTCAATCTGGAATAGTTCCTCCGTCTTTCCCTGACTTTCATGTCCTTGACACTTTTAAAAGATATAGGCCAGTCATTTTGTAGAATGTCCCTCAATTTGTGTTGTTGGATGTTTTCTCATGATTAAGTTGTCTGTCTTTGTCAGGAATGTCACATGCTGTGTTTATCAGGAAGCTCAGATGCCGTGTTCTGTAGGTAGCACACCTGCTTTGGCTATAACACCTGTGCTGGACCACCTTCCTACAGAGACACCCCCTCACCCTGCCTGGGCTCCGAAACCCCACACCACGCCGCCGCTCTAGAGGGATACCCTCTTCAGCTGGCCTGGACTCTAACACCGCACGTTAGACTGTCCCTTTGCAAGAACACTCCCCTCCTCCCACGTGGGCTCTGAAACCCCATGCTGGGCTGCCCTGCCACCCATCCTCAAACCACCTGCGATCCGACACCCTGCACTGAGCCACCCTCTCAGACCTCTTTGGTTCTGACCCTGAGCCAAGCTGACCCTGTGCAGGGATGTCCCTCTCGTCCCGACACCCTGCACCAGACCTCCCTCTCATGGATGCCCTCCTCCCTCCTCTTTCCTGGTGTTCTAAGTCTTTAAAGATTTGTGGGGTCTATGTATATAATATCAGTTTCTCCTCAAACTAGAGAAGTCTGTATGTATATTATTGATGGTCCGTCAGTAATAATGTGTTTTCGTTTCAACGATGATCTAAAAAAACGTAAAATGTGAGCCACTTGGCTCACCTGGGGTGTTCATTTTATAACCTCATACTTTGAGTGTCAATGCTTTGTGTTTAAAATTGAGTTGGCACCATGTGATGGCTAACATGGCTATATTTAACTTTTCTATTTTTTTAAAGATTGGCCCTGAGCTAACATCTGTTGCCAATCTTTTCTACTTCTTCTCTTCAAAGCGCCCCCGCCCCTGTACATAGTTGTATATTCTATCATAGGTCCTTCTAGTTCTGGTATGCAGGACGCCGCCTCAACATGGCTAGATGAGCCGTGCTAGGTCCGTGCCTGGGATCTGAAATGGTGAAACCCTGGGCCACTGAAGTGGAGGGTACGAACGAACTTAACCACTCGGCCACAGACTGGCCCCCAGCAATATTTAGCTTTTAATGTGTTGGTAGTCTTTACTTATTTTTTTAGGATCTACTCTTTTAGCAACTTTCCTATATGCGACACAGTATTATTAGCCATAGTCACCATGCTGTACATCACAGTGTTTATAGTCTTTAGATTGGCATTCTTGGCATCAAAATAACAGAAACCATCTTGCTTTCTGTTTGATAAAAATCATATTGAATTATCTTACCAGTTGTAAAGCTAAAACCGCTCCTTTTCAGTCGTAAGATGCAATTATTAAGTGTAGTCTTTTAATTTATTTAATAAATTAATTTTTATTTTCCATCATAAAAATAACCATGCTACTTTAATTGTCACAGGCTAATGAGAAAAGAACTGGGCCGACCTCATACACAAATGATGCATTCATGCAAAATGAAGGCCAAATGAATCATGGCAGCAGTATAAATGAAGTTTTATACTTCACAATGGTTCAAATAGGGGAAAATGGCAAGAAAACTGAGTCATTACAGGTTTCATGGTAGCACGGGTGGAACTCAAAAGAAGCTAGGCAAAGCGGTCACTTTATTCAGGGTATAAGGAGATGTATTGGTTTGATTCTGTGTTTATATCACATGCCAACTTCCAAGTATTCTCCATGAAGAACTTTTCATTAGAAGTTTTTTTTTTTAATTTAACATTATCATATTTTGGAGAGCACCACTTTTAAGTCAGTTGGACCAATTAAAATAGCCAACTGATGGTTTCAAATGAGTGACCTGATGGGAAGAAAAGTTATAATAATGATAATGACTGTCCATCATGCTCAAAATCAAATATTTAAGTCAACAGTTGCAACATAAAATGGGTAAAATTTCTTATTATACTTTTATAATTATGTGTATAAATTGTAATTAAATCAACATTGGCTGTTTAATGTCAGCAAAATATTACCACCTTTACACCAAATTAATGTTTTTTATTTGAATTTATCTGGTGATTTTGTTTTTATTTGATTTGTTCTTATAGATTTTTTTAATTGTGGTAAGAAACACATATAAAATTTACCATCTTAACCATTTTTAAGTGTACAGTTTGGTAGCATTGAGTATATTCACATTGTTGTGCAACAGATCTCTAGAAC